TACTCTCGGGTGGATCCCTTCCGGCCCCATAGACTTGTGAGTGTCTAGGTGGCACAGAAGATCATTAACTGCTTCCTCCTGGACTATGAGGGCTCCATTCTGCTCCCCGTCCCTGTCTTCCAGCTCAGGGGCCTGAGTATCCTGGGGATGACTGGTCTGTCTATTAAAGACAGAGGCAAAGAATGCATGAGAGTATGAGAGTAAGAGAGTAGATTTGAGAATATTTAAGCAAGGGACACAGGAACATATGAAAAAAATCCACAAAAAGCAGGAATTTGGACAACATAAGTCACACAAGAGCCATGGAGATTATTAAAAGTTTTTATTATTTATGAAAAGCTGTAGGTCAACACAACATTGTGCAGAACTTGAGGAGTACTAACATGCAACAAATATGCCATCTCAGGAGGACTACAGTCAGAACAGCTCAGAAAAGCTTTTAAAAGAGTAAAAAGTAGGAGAGGTGCGGACTCAGAGTGGGGTCGGAAAGTTCTGTGAAACCTCTACATGTATATCTGTGATATTTGCATAAAAGAGAAATTTATGTCTTCTTAGTGCATTTGGATATCAAATACAATGAGTCTTGGAGAAGATGAATCACACTATGAACAGCAAAGGGATGCAAATCTCCAGACCTTAGTAAGGATCACAGGCTGAGACTGAAGTACATTGTCCATTTGTGTCAAATTCTCTGTTGGTTTAAACAGGCTCAGTTTGACAGAAATTAAAGGTCTATTACAGTCCCAGTAGGACTGTGGGAATTAACTGGGCAGCTGAACAGCTATTCTGCATACACACAGTGCACTGCTCTTACCAGAGTATGTTATCAACACTCCATCAACACCCTTAATCTGTGATTGTCAGAATACCTCTTATTAAAAAACACTGTTTATGCCTTTCCCTAGATTTTTCTGTTCAGTTTTATAAATACCACCCTTTAAACAGCTGTGTTCTCCCCCTTCTCTCTAGGTGGCAAATTTGCTCAGACTCTTCCAGATCCCCCAGATAAGCTATGCCTCCACCAGTGCCAAGCTGAGTGACAAATCCCGCTATGACTACTTTGCACGGACAGTGCCGCCTGACTTCTACCAAGCAAAAGCCATGGCTGAAATCTTACGGTACTTCAACTGGACTTATGTGTCAACGGTTGCTTCAGAAGGAGACTATGGGGAGACAGGGATCGAAGCCTTTGAGCAGGAAGCTCGCCTCCGCAACATCTGCATCGCCACCTCTGAGAAAGTAGGCCGATCCAACATCAGGAAGTCCTACGATGGCGTGATCAGAGAGCTGCTCCAGAAACCCAATGCCAGAGTGGTGGTGCTCTTTATGCGAGGTGATGACTCTCGGGAGCTCATTGCAGCTGCCAACCGCTTCAATGTTTCCTTTACCTGGATTGCCAGCGATGGATGGGGAGCACAAGAGAGTATTGTCAAAGGCAATGAGCACATAGCCGCTGGGGCAATAACCTTGGAACTTGCTTCCCACCCTGTTAAAGAGTTTGACAGGTATTTCCAAAGCCTCAGCCCTTACAATAACAGACGCAACCCCTGGTTCAAGGACTTCTGGGAGCAAAAATTCCAGTGTAATCTCCAGAACCGAAAACCACATAAAAAGGCTTGTGACAAGCACTTCACCATCAACAGTTCCAACTACGAGCAAGAATCCAAGATCATGTTTGTTTTGAATGCCGTGTATGCCATGGCCCATGCCTTGCATAAAATGCAGCGGACTCTATGTCCAAACACCACCAAACTCTGTGATGCCATGAAGCATCTGGATGGCAGGAAGCTATACAAAGATTATCTCCTGAAAGTAAACTTTACAGGTAATAACTTCTCTTTTGGTACATACAGAATGTCGCTGTAATTAATGAAATATTCATTGGTCACAGTAAGAGCCAGATGAATTTCCAGTAGCACCTATTATCAAAGCTCAGACCAGGGTGGTACCCAGGCAAGGCCACTCCTGTCACAGGAAGGAAAAAAGAAGAAGAGGGACAGGGTGTGTGGTGACAACCCTAAAAAAGCCAAGCTTGATGCTCCTCCTGTTTTCCAGCAGAAGGAAGAGGTGGAGGTGGCAACAGGTGGTCTTGGAAATGTTACCTACTTCCACACACCAACTTCCATTTCATTCACAGCCAGTTTGGCTTCAGCTGGGCATGACTGGAGGCCAGTGGCCATTTCACCACCTGCTACACTAAGCAATTGCCTACTATGCCTATGCCAAGACTTCGTCTTCTCTTCCTTGTTTTTTTATGAATTTACATAATAGCTGGACCCTGGTCAATGGCCAATGTGCTTGCAATAATAAAGCAATAATTCCTGCCACAGAACTACATCAGTATAAAATAGTTAAATATGTGGGATAGTGCCATTACCTGTGTTACAGATCTCTAGGCTTGATGACAAAGTACAAAAAGCTAGATTAAATATGTGCAGAAGGCTTGTGGAAACAGAGTGGATGATCTGGCAAGGATGTAGGCAAACTTCATGGGGACTGGCTGTGCAGCACATGACATCTCTGTTTTTGCCATCACATGTGGCTGAGCTTAAGTTTGTTATTAATATTACACCACAGCAAGGCTAAATAGTTCTTCAGGGGAAACAAGTGAAGTGTAGAGAGAGCACCATGTCTTTTTGTTGTTACATGTCTAAATTTCTTCTGAAGCATCTAGGTTGAGCTTGAATTTCTATGTATTATTAAACTGATATTCTCAGAGTTGATAGTAAGGAAACATCATGCTGTGCTTTGTATGAGAACTAGTTCCAAGAGGAATTGAAGAATAAATACGTGTGTGATACAACATGCTCAATCCGAAGAGATCCTCAATAATGGTACAACATTAATAACACTGGAAACTCTGTGAAACTGTCAGGAGCTTGAACATTTCCCTCCTTCAGAGGTCGTCTCAGCATTTGATTCAGACCATCTCTAGATACTACCAACTACCTCCCTAGAGTTTCTTTCACTCCCAGTGGGTTATGGCTGGTGTAGCCAAGTACTACACTTTCTTGGGTACATGTTGACATACCTCCCAGTGCAGGCTGCAGAGCTCCTTAGGACCCCTGGTCTCCCAGCATCCTGCTAGCTGACTTGTTTAGAGCACATCAGGGATTCCTGCAGCCCACATGGAAATCAAGGAGGGGCAGATGGGACTGGTCATGTCCTACATCTTAACTCATCCCCCAGGAGGTGATTCAGGAGGACCAAGGAGCTTGGGCATGTTCTGGTAATATAGATTCAGTCATAAAGAAAAAATAATGCTCTTGGCAAGAGCATCAGAATGTTGCAATGCTTCAAAACCTTCATCTGAGTGCTGCAGGCAATGCAGCTGAAGCAACATGCCTGGCCTGAGCAACACAATGCTTGTGCATATCATTTGGTTTCCTCCTAAAGACTACCGCATCAGTAAGGATAGTCACATACCCATAACATATACAGATGCATAGGCAATGTAGATATATCTTATGTCATGCTGTAATTGCATTTGATCTATTTATTAATTTCATGTGTTACACACAACAGCACAAGACAGAATGAATCAACCTTTCAGGCTTTAAACCTATGGAAAATAAGAACCATCACTTCTCCTCCCCTTCCACACAGTACTTAATACACAGAAACCATTTTCTCATTTGCCTACACTTATCCTTAGAGATACCTGAATATCTTGAAATCGTTGAAATCAAAAGGTTTTAGGAGCATAGCGCTTCCCAGAAGTTGGGTCCTGGCAGACTGATCGCAAGGGATGGCAGTGGTGTGCAATGTGCTTCTGCCCCTGCCAGGAAGACACTTCAGGACAGTAACAGCCTACCCAAATGAGCAGGCAGTTCAGTAAATTAAGCTTCAATTCTTTTGCAACTTTTTCAGACACTCCAGGTTTTTTTATGGGCTTAAATGCATACATTCTTAATACAGTCCAGCTTTAGTCAGTCATTAGACAATCTTGGTTCCAGTACATGATTCCTAATAATTTTTCTGTTGTGCAGGGATTTTTTAAGCACCCAAGCATTTTTCCACTCAACATTTAGACATAAAATCAAAATAACCACAATTTTCTTTCACCAAAACTCCAGGAAAACTTTCATTTAGATACAGCCAGAAAAACTCATTTTGATTTTGACTGAAATATCTTTTATACTTTCTATGAATTGGAAGTTGAAGCTGCTCAAGCTGAAAAAAAAAAATTCAAAACCTGTCATTTTGCAATTTGAAAACAGAAGGTTCTTTCTGGAATCAAATTTGTTTTAAAATCAACATGGAAATCTTTGAAACTCTGAAGAGCTTTAGTTTCAGTTAATTTTAATTTCCAGTTTAAAACATTAAAAAACCTGTTGAGTTCTTATCCAATGGCTTTGTTCCATATGTATTGTTCCTACCTTACAGCATGATTTGCTCATCTCCTGTTTCTTTGTTATCAGTTATTCCATTATAATGTGAATCCATGTTTTAATGTCAGTGATTTTTGAAAACAGATGAGTGATTTTTATGTAGTGAGAAAATCAGCCAATCTCCCATGCCTTCTTCCTTTCAGAAAGGTGTGAAATTTTCATACATACAAGTCTTGTCATTGATTTCCATGGGACCAAGAATTCACCTTTGCTCTTTTCTGGCTGAAGAAAGTCTCTGGTGTGTTGTTAATACAATTTCAGGACCCTGCAGCATGGTACATCTGATCAGTGATGGTCTCATATTTCCAGCTCCAAATCTGAGAATATATCCCCAGTGCAGAAAGGATGGTATGGAAGCTACCAGCCCATCAGGTACACTGCAACCAAGTCAGATTGGGAATTTTCTTACTTCTTTATCCTAGGTAGTCATCCACATCCACCGAAAGGAATCAGGCAAGAAACACAACAGTGATAACCATGCTAGGACACACACAAACAGCCACTGAAGCAACAGAAAGGCAGAGAGAGATACAGACAGATGAGCTCTGCATGCCTAAACCTGAAGCTTGCCATGAAGAAAACCCAGCAAATGGCCCTGAATGTATTCTCCCAGCTTTCAGGAACAGGTGATGGTGCATTTCAAACACACCAGTCTGAGTAAATGATAGAGTACATTCATATGACTGGTGTGGGATGGTGCAATTTTAGACATTTACCTTATGCACTTGAAGTAGTTTTGTTTAGTCTGTGATTACAGTTAATGGAGGGGATCAGCAGTTACAGACTGCAGTTCAGCCCACGTGAGGTAGCCCACGTGAGATATGATTTGCCCCTACATCTCTTGCTATTGACTACAGATGGAGCATAGAGCAACCAAGATTTTCACTTACCATTTAGCTGAAAGCCTGAAGAGAGACTCTCAGGCACAGCAATAATGGGATCTGTAGGGAAATACTCAGGGACCAGCTAACAGCAGGGTTGGAGTAGAGGACTGGTCAGGATTTGTGCACTCTCATGCTGCCATTGCTGCTGACATGCTGTGTGACAGGTATTTCATTAATATCTCTGGGGTCCTACTTATTTCTCCTTTTTCGTTAAATTGAAATTACTCCATAGAACTGCAGTGTAGCATGAAGGCAGGGTGAGATTTCATTCCTTATTTTCTGTGAGATACACCAAGCACATAATTTTCTTGCAAGTCAGTAAGACGTATATGACAAATGTCCTGATATCCTAAATCTTTTCAGTAAGGGAGAAAAGAGACACCTATGCCTGATTCCCACTTCCAGCAGCAGGACCTGAGAATGCAAAGCCCAGGCCCTAGATGAACACCCTCACTCTATCTCAGTGCTTGTTTGGCCTTTCAAAGAGATAGAGGCTGGTTCATCTTCTTGATCTTCCCATGCTCTGTGTTTCCTCCTGAGGGCACAAGTGCAGCACTTGCTGTTCTGAATCGTGATGCTCTTCTGCTGATAAGGAGGTGCTGGTTCAAGAGGCTGTTAGCTTGTATTATGGGAACAACAAAGAAGTGCTGAACAAAATCCAAGGGCTCCATGGGAGAGAGCACAGAGTAAACTTAACTTCTCATCAGCACCCAGCCACTCCTTGGTGAAGGGCAGCATGTGGAGGACTCTCAGGAGGGCTGTGAATTAGGGATGAGCCCCAACACAATGCAGAACTCAACATATCCAGAAGCCTTCCTCCCTCTGACAGATATAGGGGCCAGTGCATCAACCAGCTCTGCTAACTGTTCTAGCTCCTTTAAGACAACAGGATGACACAGAAAAGTAGTGTTATCATTGCCCACAGCTGCTATTGCAAGCCTCATGACATTTGACGTGTGGCCAGGACAGTGAACAGTAGCACACACAATCTGGAAGGGGTGTCCATCATTTGGGATAAAGTGGCAGGGTCCTGCACAGCTGTGCCCCACGTGTTGTTACCTGGTGTAGCTGCTACTCCAGAGCACGGGGCTCCAGGTTGGCCAGGGGATAGGAAGGGCAGCAATGACATTTGAGGACTGGCATTAGCCCTGTCCGGCCCAAGGCTGCTGAGCTGGCTGTGCAGGATAACAGCCTTGTCACACAAGGGCGTGGGACTAGGCTCCAGCTTTTTCCACTGCACAGTTAGCAGGGCTGCAGAACTAACTCCTCCATGAGTCTGGCATGGGAGCGTATGGGTAGAGGGAGGTTGGATTTAGGGGTGTATGCACGGCCGCCTGTCTTCTGCAGCTTCCTGAATCTCCACAGCAAATGGTAGGAGGAATTCGGCTAAAGTAGTAACTCTGGAAAATAGATCATTAAAAATTTTAGGCAACACATATGTTTATAGTACTCAGTGTCTTTTTCTACCACTTTCTTCCTCCACAGCTACAAGAGACACTGTCACACCCCTCCCTGTATTATGTTCAGAAATCCAGCTCTTCTACAGCAAA